ACTCACACACACACATAGAGAAACCCACTTTGGAAGACAAAGGAATTAGCAAGAGGGAGACGGGAGAGAGGTCTGGGAGGGTGATGTACAACAATCTCATGGAGCAGTAAATTGGATCTCTTGCTCTCTGCTCTCTGGAAGACTCCCAGGCTGGTTGTGGTTTTGTGTTTTCATCAGCCCGAATCTCCGGGTTCAGGGGACAGATAGTCACTAGATGCCCTGTGGTTGCCTGCATGGCACCAGAAACACCAGGAGGCAGCTCACAAGGTGCACTGCTTTAGGAATTTGTTCAAGTACTGCAGTAAATTTATTTCTGATATACTGTACTTATGGTTTTCCATTTTATTTTGCTTTACACTTCTATTTTACTACATTCACAGGGAGATATTGTACTTTTAAATCATCATAGTGTTTGTCTGCTCTGTTGTAAGATGCAAACTTTGGCATCCCCAGCTAGTGAGCTTACTAGGTAACATTACTTCTAAACCCAAGTAACATATTTTTAGTTAATTACATCATTATGTACAGTCAGGAGATATTCATGAAGTATCCAGCACTAATTCAGATTCTAAGCATAGTAGGTAGTTAACATGACCTCCACCTTTACCAGCTGCAGTACTAAATGTGACATACACAATAATGCAACAGTATTTATAATCCAGTAATATGATATAGACACATTACACAATGTGAAATGTGCCATTCTGTATGAAGAGTACTTTTATCTTTGGTACTTGAAGTATATTTTGATGCTAATACTTTTGTACTTGGATAACATTTTGAATGCAGAACTTACTTATCACAGAGTATTTTTACACTGTGGTATTGCTACTTTTAATTAAGTAAACAGTCTGGGTACTTCTTCCACCACTGCAGTCTGGCATCTTGAAGTGATTATATATGTGACTGAGCCGGCAGCAAAACACAGGCGACCTACATTAACAACGGTCCCTGAACGCCTCCAGTGTAGACATGTGGACACAGGTGCTCACCCGGTCCACCTGGCCTGCATTCAAAATGTTAAGTACAAAGGTATTAACATCAAAATGCACATGAAGCAGCGAAGGTAAAAGTGCTCATTATGCAGAATGGCACATCTCAAATGAATGTATATTTTGTTATTCTTCAGAAAGACTGAAGAAAGAGGCAGTGAAAGGACAATTTCTGTCAATTTGGATGAAAAACGCTGAACTCATCTAAGACTGACGGGAAGCTAAAAACATTTCTCCATTATATTTGGACCAATTACTTTTGCTTTAACCGTTAACAAGAGGTTAAAGTTCTCTTATTAACTAACTAATATCAAAAAGGCCCTATTCGACTTGATTCATTTCTCCAGTAAGGTTACAGTAGCTACGAAGCAAAGCTTCCTTTTTGTTGTAATTATTTCTACCAAGATAAAAATTAAGTAGCCGATGTTCCATGCAGACAGATGCCCCCTGCTTTTAAAACTGAGCCCCCGTGCCTCGGAATCTCTGTGCACATCCCTGATTATATCACTGCTGATTATTATTGAGTGAAAAGTCTGAGTACTGAAGGGGGCAGTGGGAGTGGCTGATGGAGAAGCAGGTGGGGGCGGCGTCTGGTTCAGTAACATTAGCTACATTTTTTTATTAAAAAAATACAGTTTCCATCACTGTCCTCCTTCACCCTCTTACCAGCTGTTGGTGTGAATGAAGCACAGATCCCAAGTAATTAAGTTGCTGCAAATGAAGGCACTTAAAGGCAAGTTGCCACGGTAACGGTGTAGGACGTTGCCACTGGGGCTGGCAGGGAGAAGTGTTTCCTAATTGCTTCACAGATGCTGGACGTGCTGACACGTGCACTCAAACACAGTCACACCCTTGTATGCATAAGACAACAGCGTGCTCATGCACAGGTCATCTCCTGAGCTTTATTAAGTCTCATGTCTGCTTTGTCTTCTGCTCTCTGACTTTGTTTTCTGCTGTTTTGTGTCCTTCCAGTGGGCTACCGCTGCGCCTTTGTCACACGCTCACTCCATTTTCCTCACACCACTTCCATTGTGCTATCTGTCTCACACAAATGCACATACACACACACACTCGTGGATACAGTGGGGAGTTGCACACAAGTCAGAATGTCTGAAAAATATAAATATGCACACAAAATCACAGCCTGCAGGCTTGCAACTCAGCAGCGGCTTCCCTCCACCAACTCAAGGTCACAAGGACAAAACAGAGGGAGAGCTGTAGTTAGACAAGAAAACAGGGTAAATGGAGAGAAGGGAAAGATATGAAGTTGAGCTGTGGGACTCTGAACACTGTGGAAAGTCCAAACCAGCAGGAGGTTCAAGGGAAGAATGAGGAGTGAGGAGGGGAACAGGAGGCATCTGGAAGGGAGGTGAAGGCGGATCTACACGGCAGGGAACGTCCTCATTGGGGCCACCTCGTGCGAAACCTCTAACCCACTAACACTCCCTTATAAAAGGAAAATGATCTCTTCTAGCCACAGTCCCAGTCAAAGTCTGGTTGTGCACAGCAGGTGAATCATGTGGGAGGATTCAAACTGGGACCTTTTCAGGAGATGCAGTCACATCTGAGCTAAAACTTGTGTCCTGTAAACCACCAGTTTTCTTGAGAGACTTTAAATTGCCCATTATGAATCATTAAAAAACTGACAGGGGCAGTAAAGACTCTCTCCTCATGCCAAATAGAAACACACAGCACACATTTGTGTCATATTAAACACACAGGAGACAGCTCTCTCGGTGGTAAAATACAACATGTTACTGGGCTGTTGCATGTTGAATCCATACAGTGCTCTGTTTTGTGGGCTACACACACACACACACACACACACACTTATACACACAAACTAAGACTGACAGCTGGTGTGGAAATATGGGCTAAGATAGCTTCTTCATCTCCATCGACAGGTGACGGAACGTCAATGTGAAGGGGTGCAGCTGTCGCCTGTTCATGCTGTTCATGTGTATCTGTGAGTCCGTCAGTGTGCGCCTCAGTGTTTTTCTGCCTGTGTGCACGATAACGGTGTTATGTGCAGCACAGAATGTTATGTATGTAGGTGTGAATGAGGCTGGGATGTTATCACAGACTGTCGTGTCCCTGCACTTCATTACAACTTGCCTAAAGAAGAGATGAGACAGCATCTCACTGGCAGCATTAGCAGTTACCATAAAGCTTGTGTGTGTGTGTGTGTGTATGTGTGTGTGGTGCTCCCTGCTTCATCCTGTCTGCTGGATTCAGGTTCACATAGGCGTTGTCAGTAGTCACAGTCACTCCTCTGTACTGTACATGGACAGCATCACCAGTAGAGCAGAATGTGTGTCTGCCGTACCGTTCACCTTGTTTAGACTCTGGCCAAACGAGAAGTGATTTACTGCCTCAGCAGTCTCTGAACCCCCAGCCTGGAAAAACCATATGGCTCATTAGTTGTCTTTTTTTATTCACAAAAAACATATAATTAATTTGTATATTAAAAATAAAAAATTGCATAAGCACATTAGAATTATCACAATAAAAAAAAATTTCTTAGAGCCCTGATGCATAATTATCACATTTATGCTTTCTCACAATTTCCAAAAAGAACAGGATTTTTGTTAGTGAAAATAGGTTTAAACTTAACACGGGAAGCATCTCTGCCTGGTTGTGCCCCGTTGGCTTTTACAGTAGGTTTATTAGCCCTGTGTGTATGTATGAGAGATGAAGAGAACTGATTTGGCCAAAGCACGAAAGTGAAGAAATAAAAATGCCCTTCAGTGACTTTGTAGGTTGATTCAGTGGAGGAGAAAGTGAATGGCTGTGTCCATAACACAGCATCTTAAGAGAACATAAAACGGTATATACACACAAACTCAGATCATATAAGAGCAGTATGCAAGCAAATGTAAACCCACTATCTGATGCACAGGTACACGCTCTTGCTATAGCTCCTTTTCCACTGCCTCCTTTTTTGGTGTCACCTCCAAATGAGCAGAGGTGACACCAAACGGCAACATGTAAACACTGCAGACTAGCGATTGGTCAGAGAAATCACGTCCTGGAACAAAGAAAGCGGCATTTTTAAAAGCAATGTCATTTAATGCTAACCGCTATTTTACTGTAGTTTTTGTACTAACTAAAAGCAGACACATGCTGAGAATCAAGAACAGCGTACCTTTGATGTCCTCCATTGTTGCTGTGTCGGTTACTGACGTCGTCACAGCGGATGTCCTCCATTGTTGCTGTGTCGGTTGCTGACGTCGTCACAGCGGTGTATTGCGGTGTCACTATGACGACCAGCAACACTGAGGAGGGGGCCATCTGCAGTGGAAAACCAAGCACCAGGTACCAAACACGAGTCGAGCTGAGTTGGTACCAGGTGATGGAAAAGGGGCTTTTGTCTCTCTCTCTCTTTCACACACACCAAGCCAGCTGTGTGGTGGAAGCAGGTGTCACTCCCAGCTCATTGCCCCTGGCAGGGTTGATCACCCTGTTTGGAGAGCAATAGAATACAGCTCAGAGATACAGGGAGAGCATCAGCCTTCTGCTTTAAGAGATAGAGGTAGTGAGTAGCGGAGGGAGGGTGTGCAAAGGAGCATGCGGTTATTGTGATAGGAGGAAAGAAGGAGGGAGATAGGAGAGGAGTGGGGATAGAGTTTTGGAGGACTACAGAGGAAAGTTGTTGAGTGAAGAAGTAAATATACACCGGAATTGTCCTTTAAGTTGACAGTGGAGATTTCACAAGAACTGAAACTGAAGACTCAGGAATGGGTGTTGCTCTTAAAGCTCCTTCGATAATTCATCATGAGTTCCCTTTCATTTGTGAATGATAAAAATAAAAACTCATAACCATGTAACTATAACCATTCTCCTCGTGCCACATTTATCAGTTCAGCTCTAATTACCAACAGTTTAGAATATTAGTTATCAGTGCATAAGTGACAGAAAATTACTCCTTACAGTAAGTAAATGTGTCGCTGTAAATACCATGTTCCTATTTATGCCAGTGAACTCATCTCGTGTGCTGTCTCTCTGCAGGTATGACTACAAAGAGATGCTCCACAACTCCACCTTCTGTTTGGTGCCTCGCGGCAGACGACTGGGCTCCTTTCGTTTCCTCGAGGCGCTGCAGGTAAACAAGTAACACACACAAACACACACTCCATTATGAGTGAGCACTGCGTCTGCTGTAAATCCATGCCTACCAGCCATGTTTCTGGGAAGAAGAAGAGGCACTTCCACCACCCAACCTTGCACTTGGCATTTATTTTAATGGTGCTACATCTAGGAGTAGAGGATCGCTAAATCATTACCACTTTAATAGTGTAATTAATATAAACAAACAAGACCTTGGCTGAGATTAGCTGCTTATTCCTGCCTCTAAGCTGTCTTACATCATGACACTGGCATGAATTTTGCAGCTAAACTGTTAAAGTGTTTTTGTGAAAGCAGCGGACAGTGAGATAATCAAAGGGCTGCTGGAAAAATAGGGAAGTGTTAGAAAAGTCTTTAACTCGACTATAGTGACAGTCAAGTATCAAATGAACAGCTAGCATTGCCTCGTTTAGGCTATATGTAGTTATTATTGCCTCATATCTAGTGGATTCAAACTGTATTCAGACCCTTTTACTCTTTGCAAATTGTTTGTGTTGTGGATTTGGTTTTAAGTGATACAACTGCCATTTCTACCCATCATGATGAACCTAATCACCCATGATGACAAAATTATACCGTGGTGATAGATTTGGCAGAAAATTAATTCAGAATCAAAAGCTGAAATCACCCACTCTCAAAGGTTTTCACCCCCTTCATTCAGCTCTTCAGAGCAGCAGATACAGCTGCAAGTTGTCCTGGATGCATCTGTACCAGCTTTGCACATCTCGCTTTGGGCAATTTATCCCGTTCTTCGTGACAAATCCTACTTGAGTATTTTCATGCTCTGTTACTTCCTACTTTGACTTCACTACATTTTAGAGGCAGATATTGCACTTTTTACTCCACTAGATGTATTTGATCATTTTAGTTATTGGTTCCCTTTCAGAACCAGAATAATACAAAGATTCTGTATGACTACAAGACTTTATTGATCCCAGATGGCAAATTCATGAGCTACCCAGCAGTAATTCAAACTAAAAGCATATTAGGTAGTTAAAACTAACCCCCCCCCCCCCCCACGCACACACACAAACACTATCTGCATCATTAAATGTGATGTACACAATAATGCAACAGTAGTTATAATCCAGTAATATGATGTACACTCACCCTAAATGTGCCATTCCACATAATGAGTACTTTTACTTTTAGTACATTAAGTATGTATCAGTGGTAATATTTTAGTATTTAAGTAATATTTTGAATGCAGAAGTTTTAGTTGCTGACAGGAAAGTTGAGTATTTTTTTTATTGTTGTAATTCTAAGGATCTGAGTACTTCTTCCACCACTGTTACCATGTTTGCTATAGATATAGAAAAACAAGCACCGCTCTTTATGCACACTCACAGGGAGTAAAGTAAATCTTCAGAAACTGGCTTTGACTGTTGGCCAGTAGCAGACCATCGTGGTGATAGTGCTATCCTTTAAGGGTACTGAGAGCCACAGAGCTCGGGTGGGACGATTGTAAGGTGGTTTTTTTTTTTCTTACTTTTACTGGTCTGTTTTGTTTGCTCCCCAGTTACAATAAGTAGTGATACAGGAATCTTAAAATGATTTACACATAAAGAATCAGAAGCCATTGTGCTTTTGAACTATTTGTAAAGGTTAAGTGAGGATTCACCACATTAGGGCTTAAAGATGCTACAGGTTATGTTCCATAGCAGCATATGACCATAATGACCTGGGAGGCAGATTTCATCCATCTAGAGTCATTTTCTCTTACTGTGTCTGCATTTACCTCCACTTTGCTCATTCCTCTTGAAATCTAAACACTTCATATTTGTTTTTTCCCCCTGTTCATCCATTTCTGTCACTACACTGGCCTGCATTATTACTGTGCTGTCCTTTGCCTCTCCTCGCTGGCCAGAGTGCACCCACATAAGTGCACTTGTCTTACTATCAAGTGCCACACACACACACACATAACAGCACACTTCACTCAGGAGGGAAATATGTCGTCTCCTCTCTTCTACTTTCCCCATTTGTATGAGTCTCTCCATCCATCGACTCACACCGTCTGCAGAGAGACGGAGGGAGAGTATTTACAGGCTTTGGTCTTTGCATGAGAAAGCAATTCCTTATAGAGGTCAACTCTGTGTGTATGTGTGTGTGTGTGTGTGTATGCCCAGGGTTGTGTATATCTTTATGCATGGGGCTGTGTGTGTGGAGGAGAGAACAGCAGAGCTCGAGGGCCGGTACTAGTTTAGATGACACCTTTATGACCTAGGAGTGACAGGGCCGTCATTTCACCAAACTCCCATCATGAACACACACACACACACACACACCACCTGTTCCCTCCACCTCTCCTTTCATCCCTCCATCCTTCTGCCACTCCTTTGCTAAAGGTCACATTCAGATTCACTACCTCTGTTCACCCATTTTCTTCTGCTTTTTTGATCTCTTTTAATTCCTCTCTATTTTCCCCTCATCATTCCTCTTGCTCGCCTCCTCCAAGTAATTAACTCTCCTGCAGATGCACCAAAAAAAAACCACAACTGGTTGTGCTCACAAATGAAGTCAAATCAGTTCAAGTAGACTCAATGTTGGTTGTTTTCAGGCTGGTAAATTATTCATTTTTCTAAATCAAATACACACAAACAGAATCAGAAACAGAATTATTAACCATGTAATTAAGAAATTCTTTTTGTGCATGTTTGAGTTCTTGTGGTTCCCGAGTGTTACAGCAGAGCGAATCAATGTCCTCTGGTTTATATCAATCTGGGCTGCCTGTTTGCACATCTGCAGCCTAGTCCCCACTTTTAACTGTTATTTTACTACCTATGTTCATCTGTTTGTGATCTGCTTCTTAAAAAATGATGCTATTTTTTCATATCCATATCTGCCATCATTATACCGACTTCCTTGCCATCTATAGGCTCCCTGCCTGCTTATCTATATTGATTTTAAATGTGTTTCTCTTTATCTGATTGCTGAGCTGCTGTATGTAAGACTCACGATACAAGCAACGTGCATTCATGTATACCTTGTATTTGAGCCCATATTTATATATTGTCTTCTTAAGGTCCATGGTAGATGGGTTCTACGACTACATTTCTACAAAGATTTAAGCTGTGCTTTAATATTTTTAGATTAACAGTGAACATGTAATGTGTAAAGGAGTTTCTTATAGTGGAGAGCCCACAGAGAATTAATAACCAAACTCTATGTGGTGTTAACATCTTTTAACTTATTGTTTTGGCCAAAAACAAAGTTTAAACGGTATGAGTATTGGACTTGGTCAGGTGGCCAGAGACGGGACACAACTGAATGCTAACGTTGTTCTGCTACTGCTAAATGTGTAATGTTCACAAATACAATCATAATAACTTTATATGGTGATAATACAGTAGGCCAGTGTTGGAGTGTTGCCATACTCTCAAGTCCTGATTTTCAGGACTTGGACTTGGACTGAACTTGGACTTGAGCACTGATGACTCGGATTTGGACTCAGACTCGAGCATTGACTGCATTCGGACTCAGAAGTTGGAGACTGGGACTCTGACTTTTAAATTTTTTTTTGTAAGAGGCCACAATAATTTGGCATGAGATATTCATATTAAAACCTGTTGGCCCGCACCGTGCTGTATCAGTGTGTACGTGTGCACACTTACTAATGCATTTGTTTGACTACTGTCACACACAGAAAGTGAACTCCTTTTAAAATGCTGAGTTGTCAGTTTTGTTTTAGTGCAGACCTTTGACTCAGGCTCAGGTAACGGGGACTCGACTCGGACTTGAGGTTTAGTAACTCGACTACAACACTGCAGTGTTATGTTTACAGCTTGTCCTACTGCCCCCTGCTGGACAAAAATACATCGCATTTATTTTTCATTTTCACTCATTTGGGATACAATCAAAATATTCAGGACTAATCATTATGATTAAATGTCTAGTATGACAAGTTTAAAGGAGCTGCTCTTCGGTCCTTTAGCCTATTCCACTCTGAAATAGCATGAACTGTGCAGCAGATAAATTTGGCATCTTAAGTTTCTCAAAAAATCAACAGTAATAGGCCCTGTGTTGCTTACTTCCCCACTTGGCTGCCACGAGCCTCACTTGTAATTTTATATATGATATCTCCAAACACCAAGGAAGCTTGAAATCAAAGAAAATTTCATTTCTGCCAAGTGCAGGATTTAGGCATGAACACAGAGCCCTAGAAAGACACACACTGATCAATTGTAATACACTCCAACCATTGTAGTTTAATATGAAAAGAACGGTGTGTTGCAGTTGTAATAGTCAAAATCAATATGTAGCAAAGTAGTCATGATTTAGCTGTAGCTGCGACTGTGTTTGTAAAGGCTCTTATCCAAGCTTCTCTTTCTGTTTGTGTGTCTCTCTCTTAGGCTGCGTGTGTGCCAGTGATGCTGAGTAACGGCTGGGAGCTGCCTTTCTCTGAGATCATCGACTGGAACACAGCCGCAGTCATTGGTGACGAGAGGCTCCTGCTGCAGGTAACGGCCCAAAGGCACGCTCGCACAAATCCACATGCTCTGTATATCACCTGAAAACTATACCAGACAAAGAAAAAGCAGCAGACCCGCAGCTGAAAGAAAACACTTTTGATACCTTGAGCACACACTCTTCTTCACTGATATTATCCAAAATCCTCTTTTTTTGTTTTGTTTTCTAGTTCAGTGGTTGTCAGCTAAACAAAATTCAAGCAGAATACTAAGTCCTTCACTGTCAGTCAAAGCCTCACATCATGAGATGAGAGGACAAACAGAGAAAATGAGCAAATGGATTTGGCTAGAATCACTTGAACTTCATGGGGGGAAGGTAATTATATGCCCATTAAACCTTAATTTAAATGAAGTGTGTAATAATATTGTTTGACATTGAGTTTTATAACGTCGGTGCTCCATCTGAGCTCACTCTGTGCAGCCTGAGCCATCCTGCATCTATCTGTAGTGTTATGCAGACTCTGTTACAACGGTATGATGAGCCACGGTGCACCAAGCACAGTATGTGTACTGTTTTTCACCAATGTGGGATACCTGTGCTGTGCATTAGAAGTATGTACTCTCTATTTAAACCAGAAAAATACCACATATACTGTATATTTACTTCTTCACTCAAAAGGCTCTTATTTAGAAGAGTATGGCCATATAGTGCATGCTAAAGAGTTTTTATTTGCCATTATTCCTTATTTTTACTATGACAAATAAACTCACTCTTCGTTCTAACTCTGAAATAAACAGCTCTTCATAAATGGCTGCTACAGCATTTCTTCCCTGAGACTGTTTGATGACTGATGCTTACTGTTAATGCCTTCTGTTGTGTGTTTCGTTCTCCTGAATAAAATCACATTTTTATCCATTTAAATGCTGTGTTGTTCCTCTGAATAGCCTTCTTTGCCCCCACACGTAAAAGAATTTGGTGTACTTTGCTAAACAAGGCTGCCACTGGAGTTGTAGGCTTGAGATTTGATGCTTGAGGAAACATTTGACATTTTGGGAGATGCTTTCCTTCAGCCTACAGTTCACAAGGTCTCCACGGCATAGCGTGCTTCATGTGTTGATGGGAGTTTGCTGAGTGTGTTCTTGGGACCGGTTTCAATCTTCCTGTCACTACATATAAGTTCCCAGAGCAATCATTTAAAAGCCAGCTTCCATATTTACTGCTGACTGACTGCTGTTTTGGCATTGCAGATTCCAACCACAGTGCACTCCATCCACCAGGATAAGATCCTGTCCCTGAGACAGCAGACTCAGTTCCTCTGGGAGGCGTACTTCTCCTCTGTGGAAAAGATAGTGCTGACCACACTGGAGGTGAGAATTCAGAGCACACGTGCACACACACACACACACACACACATACAACCACCGGACCTTTTGGCTTCTCTGCCTTCCTCTGTCCTACTCCTCCATCATCAGTCTTTCTCTCAGAGGGCTGCAGTGTCACAGCAAACTCTCTGCAATCTTTGCTTTATTCTCAGGCATCTCTTTGGCATGAGGTTAAAAGCAAACTGCTGCAGAAAGGTAGACGGTGTCATGTACAGACAGCCAGACGTAAATCTGAGCACATGTTCACAGAGAATTCTCCAAGTTCATTTTATTTAGAATGAGTGAAAATAGGTTTTTGCATTTAAATTGTGACACTGGAATTTCCAAATTTTACAATATATTAGCACAGTTTGTGTAATGGTATATCATTAGATGATAGACGCAGTAGTATTTACAGTACCAGTTGTATTGGTAGAGACAGTAGACATTATAGTTGAGATATAGTATGGTATTCGACTGTATGGTACAGCTTTCAGTTAGCAGTTTGAGCACATTGCTCGTGGATCTGTCGGCGATGGGCACTAACAGACCGTAGAGCATTAACTTGGGGATCCAAAGCAGTGGTATTTCTGTGTATAATCTGTTTTTCGGAGTATTAAAGCTCATCTTCACTAGGCTTGAAAGGTGGCTTCAAAAACTTTGTCCTTCACATAGAACTGAGCTGCTATCAGTGTGAACCCTTGCTGGTTAAAATGGATTCCAGTAGTGAAGCTGTAAAACAGTCCCTGTAGCACTTTTTTTTTTTACAGGCCGTTTAGAGCCAGAAACAATCTATATGTGGTTCATACAACATGTCAAATAACAATGTCTGAAGGCAAAAGTGGTTACAGCAGTTCCAAAAGGTCACACACAATGGCAATGCATAAAGCCTGCCATCACAGAGAGAAGCCAGATGAGATAATAGTTGAGTTGAAATGGGATAACAGACGGTTTCAATTTCAGACAGTTATGAGGCGTTTCACAGAAGCATAGTGTTTTTCCGCCACAGGAACTTAACAAGCTGTATGAACAGTTTATCAAACAGCAGTTGAACAAACTGAACACAAACCTGTCAACTCACTGAAGTCCCAATCCCAGTTCCCAAGCCCTCATTTGACCCGGAAGTTGTTCCGGTCTGCCGTGATGAAAGACGCCCAAAGCTCTTATTTGTGCTCAGAGGAGTGAGGAGGCTGCCTGGAGGAACTATAACCAAGGATACATGAGCACATCCTTCTTGGAAGTCTGTTATGGATTGACACGCCCCTCTCTAGGAAATCAGTTTTTGATTGGATGCTTCACGGGAAGGTTTGGAGAAAAGAACGTCTCGTCAATTAAAAAGGTGTCTCCTCAGTCTAAACCTGAACAGGTGTTCACACCAGTGCAGAGCTAGAGGTGGAATCATCAGGGTATGCAACAAATGAATTGGTCAGGAGTGATTCTGACCAGTTGAAGAGCTCAAAGGGGTCATGAATGAGGATTAAGGTGGGGCAGTGTATTTAGCCATGTTTGCTGAAATTTCTACTTTAGGAAGTTTCTAAGCATGAAAACTGGTCCCTGCTGAAATCTGCCTCGTCCATGCAGACCACACCAGCTCATCTTAGTGAAGGACAAAACTTACCAAATCTTTTCCTGCTCAAGATGGGAGGTGGTTACTTCAAGTTCAGAATCCTCCCTCCATCCTTTGACCTCGTATTATCATGCACATCCACTTTGGTAACAATAACCCAGTTTAGGGAATTTGTGACTGGAAAAACAATTTATCCATCCAGTCCCCATCCCTGATTATTCAGTTTAAACAAGTTGTTTATAGATGCAGGAATAACACCTGGGCTCACTGCTGGCTTCATGCTGTGGTTACAGATGTCTGCTTCTTCTCATCCAAGTATCACATCACGCCTTTAATTCCCTCTCTTACTGCGCCACTAAAGCCTCGGAGCCAGATTCCCCTCAATGCTACCGTGTTACTTACAGTACATCCTCCCAAATCTTACATCTGAATTTGACTTCTAAATACACACACAAGCACCAACACGCTTTCACACACACACACACACACAGCGCACATAGTCTGTTGTGGCTGTGTATCTAGAGTGTGTCTGATTTTAGCTAGCTCTAAATCTGTTTGTTATCTAAGCCTGTCTCACTGTGAGCGATCACACACACACACGCAGAGTGAGAAACACATCTCCATATGTCAGAGTGTGTCAGCCCAGATACATATGGCACCACCCAGGCATAACCTTGCTGACATGTTGTCACTCCACACTAAAGAGCAAGGTGACACAGCGAAACACTGTGACTCAGTGTGTTTGTGAGTGTGTGTAGTTGTCTGTGTGTGTGTGTTCTCACATTGAATACAGCAAGGGCTAAACGCTTAATCCTAATGGACTGTTCTGTGAAAAGAGCGAGGGGAGAGGAGAGTGGTGGGAGAAAGGGTGAAGAGGAGAAGGGGTGACATATGTAAATGCCGTGGCTGTGGCAGCCCCCGAGATAACGAGGGACATGGTTTATTCATCCTGTCAAGCCTGCACACCCTCCACACTGCAGATTTGTAATGATACACACACACACACGATATCTTGACAGATTGAATCTCCTCACACTCATGCGCAGACACACTTGGTTTTTATTGACTTCCACCCGAAACTCTGTGAGTGTGCATCTGTGCAAGCTAGCAGGAAACATGAGTTCAACCTATCATGCGGTGTTTCCTGTCAGCAAGTGGACATGTTTCGACCAATCACAAGGTCAATATCGCCGACTCTACGGTGCTGGTACACCTATTAAAATGGCCTATAAAAGCCAGGCTCACAGCGTGCTCCCGGAGAAGCAGGATTTATCTATCATGCTCTAATTGGTTGATTGGGGCTGTTCTGAGGTGAGATTGAGTCGTCCATCATGTCCCGACTGAGGGGTGCCGACGGGGGAGGAGCTGCAGCCAAGCGAGCAAAATTGCCCCTCATAAGGTGTAAAGGGCTCAGGGTTTTTAAAGTGGCAGGCAGTGTTTTTATAGAGAAGTTAACGGATTTGGAGTTAATCTGTTCAGCTGAGGCGAACGGTTATCGACTGACCTCAGGGAGGGAAAGTTCTCTTTCTTCGCAGCTCCACCTCCAAGTGATGAATTTTTATGTTGCTCTGTCAGTAATTTTACCCCACAGCTACTGTATATGATCAACTTTCAGCTGCTCACCCATCACCCATCTCACTCTTTGTACTTCCTTCCATACACCAGTCATTTGAGCTGCTGAGCCAACAACAGCCGCCACGTCCTGATTCAATAGCAGCCATAAAATACAGCCGCAAACCTGTGTCTGTTTTACTGAAGCAATTTAGCATGGCTCAAGGACACAGCAGCAGTATCTCTTTCTTCTCTGCCCGTTCAGCACAGGCCGACGGCGAGCTGCAGCTGAGAAAAATAGTGGCCGTTGTCTCGCGTTTGACTGTTTGACTGACTGCTGTATGTGGTCACAGAACAGATGGGGGCAGGTCTGACTGACCGGCACAGATGCCTTTGACTTTCTGATCTGTTTAAAAAACAAGAAGACCTCAGTTGGTCTGTGGAGGAAACATCACACAATAGCATAGATTTATCCTGACTCCACTTTGTGCCACAGCGATTACCTCTTGACATGATCAATAGCTGCTATTGAAGTGATACAAAGCAGACGTTTGGAGCTAACTTCTAACGGCCATCCAACACCTGCAGACTCACTTATCTAACTGGTTTTCACCTGCTTTGATTCACTGCCTGAGTTTTAAATAATACTCTTAATATCAGTCTGAACTGAAATAGTGTTATTAGAGGTTGGAACATTAGCAGTGAAGACTATGTGCTTCTTGGTATTTTTTTGTGGAAGCTCATTTCACTGTATGACATGTTTCATTGGTGATTTACGAGGATCATTGATCAAATCCTTAATATTTCAGCCCCCATAATAAGAAAAACAAATGTTTCTTTATCAACACAAACATCATTTTTTTAATGATTCTTCTTTGATCTGAGCCAGATTTAATATTCATGTAGTTTTTATTTCAAAGTTGTAATTGTTGTGAAAGGACAGGATGGCCTAGAGATCAGTGAGACTGTGCTCTAATTAAAATTACACAGGTTTGATCCTGGCAACAATCTGTGTCCAGTACCACTGTCAGAGTACCTTTCTTTTGTGAATTCTTTTAAAGCCCCCTTTTATTAAGTTATCGATTCATGAATATTGACATCTCGTGGTGTAATGATAAGCATTTGGTACTTTTGGAACCGTTTGCTTCTTTTAATAACATTTAAAATACATTTATGTGAAATTACGCTCTGTGGATTTGACTGATGGTCAAAGAACATGGTTTTGTAATCATGGATGTGCAAAAGGCTAATTTCTTTGAGATTAAGAATTTATAATTGCATAATTTGCTGTCTTGAAGATTAGTTTTATTTGGTCATGTTAAGTCGGTTTTATAGCCCAAAAACATAGGTTTGTCTCTGATTTTAGTAATTTGTACAAAAACCTTTAGTTGAGATAGGAAGAAAAACTCTTCAAAAGTCTTCTTCAGTTGTAAAAGAGCATTACTAGAATTACCATGTAAGGGAAAATGTATTTTAAAGGTGCCCCGTGGAGTTTCTTTGTAAACATACAGTAGGTTTTGTTTGTTATTCGGTAAAATATATTCTGTCTCTAGGTCTGACCATGTTGAAGGCATTTTCTTTTTCATAAAACATTAGTGAAACTACTTTACTTTTTCATTTTAAATGTTGCAATGCACTGCAGATGAATTGAGTAATATGAACTCTTTAGTAGTAAGGTGCATCTCAGCACACGTTTCATGCATACGCATCCTCGTGCAAGTGCATGAGACAAGCAAAACAAGGGCCAGAAACCAGAGGAACTTCACAGGGTACTTTTAAATCTAAAAACTAGATGAAAGGCTGCAGCATATTAACTTGACATTGAAATTGTATTGCCTTAAAACGACATGCAAATTAAAGCAAAACTATTATAATCTGATTTGTAGTTAATTCGTGGTCTAACCTGTGACTGCTTGGCGTCCTGTGTGCAGATCATCCAGGACCGCGTGCTTGAGCACAGCTCCAGGAGCAGCCTGATGTGGAACAGTCACCCCGGAGGACTCTTCGTTCTGCCACAGTACTCTGGAGACCTGGGAGACTTCCCCTTCTACTACGCCACACTGGGTCAGTAACACCCACACACAAACACGGAAACAGACGCAGACACATCATGATTGGCACAAAGTGCTGCTACAATATTTCTACATACCTGTGTAGCAATGAACAGATCCCTACTGGCCATCATCCATCACTCTGCTGCAAAATATTTTGTCCCAGTTTCTGTACAAGAACATTACTACAGATGTCCGTCCAGCTGTTACCGTGGAGTTGGACCCTCTCTGAACTGCAGATCTATGGGAAGAGCCTCTCCATCCCTCACTTCTTCACTCCATCATCATCCAGCACACATACACAAACAGACGACCGTAGTGCAAATAGACAAAATCATGTGATGGAGCATCGTAGTGTGGAGAGCTGGGCATGGATTATAATGGTAGCAAGTTTTGTTTGTTAAAGAATTGCTATTAAACACAGATGGATTTTTAGGAGACAAAGTCGCTTGTGAGTAAAACCAGTATCACCCACACACAAACACACACAATGCATATTAACAGTCAGACATCCATTGTAGGAGCAGAGTTTGTTTTTGTTGCTTTAGTAAAACATACAGCTCGGAATGACCGTCTTTTATGGCTCATGAGCCACATTCATGCGTTATTGTGTGGGTTAATTTTTGTGTGTGGAGCGTTGATCCTCATGGACTGGAGCGCACCTCCTAAGCACAACGCCGGTCATCGGTATGGGAGGATGTTGATGAGAGGGAGGCTGCTGAACTGAATGAGCGTACTGCCCCAAGTGAGTGTGTGCTGCACTCACTCCAAGCTGTGCAGGGCTCACGTTATAATGACAAAATGCATTCATTATAATCAGAAAATAAACATAACAACATGAAAAAAGACATTTTAACAGGAAAAGTAACTTGTTATAACAAGATGTTTGGCAATATTTTTCTCATGGTGGCAGCGGCACAGTGCCATAGTATGAAATATAATTCTACCGGCACCACTGGTGTCAGTGTGGGTATAAAATGACATTATATAGCCTGTTGTGTTGCTATAGACATTTAGCTGATGAGATGTGTAACGTGCTGTGATGAAAGCCAATGAGAATCATGTGCTAGGCAGAAAACAAGAAACGTGTCCAAATGTGCAGAATGTGCTGCGTGACGGTGATTCTGCTTCAGGTTTTGTTCAATGTTCCATGAAAATCTGTTTATGAGCTTGTTGCAAATTTACATCCCAGGTGTTTAAGAACTCAGCAGACTGTTTACCTTTTCATTACACATCACAGGGATAGTTTACCAAGTTTTAAGACCGCGTATATAAAAGTCCTCATCATAAAAGTTGCTCAGTGGTGGAAGGAGACCGCTCTAACACCGTCTCCTCTCCGCCATGCTTTGTTGGTTTACATTGGATTAGATTTAAATTAGGAAACGTTGAACGCCCTCTATGATCCGTCTTGTTCGATATCTTATTTCCTGCTCATTTTGAGCTTCAATTACTCTGTTCCAAGGACAGGTCTGACTGAATTTAAAGTCACATCAGTAGGTAGTCATCTGTTCGCTGGGTTTCCAGATACAGCTGAAGCATTTCCAAAATGAAATATTCAGTGATCAAGAGATTTGGCATTTTCAAAACACATTAATGTTGTTGAATATTTTAAGATGGCCTTGAAAAAACCACCCCTGGCTATTAAATCATCTATATTTTTAACTGCTGACAGACTCGTCTTTCCCTCAAAGCTGTTTTCTAGGTTTGTTAAAATGCATAAACGAGTGTTGTCTCTCTGTTGTGTTCCAGGTATCAAACCGTACCCCAAGTTCACAGCAGTCATCCACGCCGTCTCCCCTCTGGTGTCCCAGTCCCAGCCCATACTCAAGCTTCTAGTAGCTGTGGCCAAATCCCAGTACTGTGCACAGGTAAAGATTGTGTGTGTGTCTTCACTGCAGCCTCCCCACAGTCCTCTGCTGATCTCCTGTGACTCTCCAAATTTCCCGCATTTTGTGACTCTTGTGATCACATTTTCCACCAGAGCAACAAAAGAGCTCGCCCTCCACCCTGTGTGTGTTTGTGTGTTAACTGCAGTGGATTGAATTAGAGCAGCAGTTTGCAGTGGTGCTACATCTGTCTCCATGGCAGCGGAACCCCCTTCAGCACAGCTTGAGACGCCGTGTATTGATTCCCCCGCGTGCTCCTTACCAGTGCGGGAAATGAAATGGAATTTGCTCTCAGATGGCTGGCTTTTGTGTGTGTGTGGGTGTGTGTATGCGTGTGTCTTTGTTTGTTTGTTTGGCCAGCAGAGTATGAATAAGTAAGTTTGTGTTTTGTGTAGGAGGGATGTGTTGCCATGTGAGCGCTGTGCGTGAATGTGCAATGAAATGATTGTGTGTTGGAACAGGAGTTGTGAGGTGAGCTGTGTGTATGAGTGCTAGGACAGTGCAGTGTGACTGTGTGTGTTTTATGTAGGCGGGATGCTTCCACATGTGTTGTGTGTCTGAGGTTGTCTATGGGTGCATCAGCATATGTACTGTCCATGTGAGTGGTGAACGTCTTGATTGGATGCTGTTTGATACTATAGCCAGTAAGAAACCTTAGTTTCAGTCCTGATAACGTTTTACAGAACTCTTCTTTACATTTAACAAAAGAAGACAAATTTCTCAGACATTAAAGCGACACTGGATCCTTCACTTCCCACGGTGTGGAGTTTAATTGCATCCTTTATGTTAGACCCTCTCTAAATATGGACATCTTTCAGACTCTGCGCTTCAGTTTCCTTTCCTTAAATAAGTCTCCATGTGATGGCACAACTATTATGTCTCCTTCAGATCAATTACATATATATCTGCTTTTACAGGCTGAGTCGTTCTTCTCATGACTATTAAACTGACTTTAAAGTGTAAAACTGGTGCGGTGTCCCTTTAAATGCTTACATAAAGGGACATGGCTAAATAAAATGCAATCTAAAACTGAAGAATAATGATCTCTACTCAAGAGTCACTATGGTGATGCAGTGAAAAGCTCCAGAACAAGTGAAGGAGTGGACCTTAAGTGGAATCTTTACCCGTTTGCATTGTAGTTTTAAGTCAACATGGACAAGAACATGTGCAGTTTCATGACCACTGAGCATCAGATGATGAAGACTGTGTGATACTGTCGATAGATCTGAGCAAGCACGTTAGCGGAGCTTGAGTGGATAAACACTCCCACCTTATTATTTTTCATGGAAGTGCTTCTGTGCTTCTCTTCTTTAGGCTTTCTTCTGCTCCCAGCCTGTGGGGGGGTTGCTGATGAGGAAAGGGATATAAATAAATGAATGGAAGGGAGAGAATGAAAGAAAGAACACAGAGGGCAGAGGAGGCTAAACTGGATGCAAGAAAGCTTTTAGAGGCGCATTCTGACACAGTGGACCTCCTGCTGCCAGTGTGTGTGAATGTGTGCACGCACATTTCCCAAGAAGCGTTTGGGGTTTTTTTTTTCCATTTGTGCTGCAGATCCACCAAGAGTTCCTTCACTGCTCTCCTCCACACATACAAGCATTCATACACAATGCCACCATCAGCGCCCTGAGAGGGTTGGGGAGCCAACAGAGATGCCATCTGTCTTTCTGATCAAACAGGAATAGAAGCCTGTATGTGTGGATTAACACGTTTCTCAGGCACGAGTGTGTACACAGGGATCCAGTGTATACCTCTTGTTATCTTGTAATGACACTTTCACACTCAGAGTGACAGCGTGTCATTGGGCCCTCGAGGAGATCCGCTGTTACGTAGTTAATGTCAGAATAATGTGAAACTTTATTGATCCCTGCAGGGAAATTCTTGTGGTTCGCCTGCATTAGGGGTGTCTGAGCACAATGTCAGCTACAGCTCTGCACAGTGGATTAATTTACAGGCTTGTTCAAGGACAGTACGGCAAGACAGATGTTAGCTGACACACAGCAACACAACACTAAGGATGGGCTCCTGTTGACTCCCCTTTAATTCCGTTTTGTAGTGACAAAATATGCTGCTTTTTTATATTACTTGTATACTATATAACAACAATATTGCCCTCTTCTGTTTTTAAGTATTCAGGATGTTCATCCTGAAAATTTAACTTGAAATAGACAGAACATTTTCAGCCTGACTTCCAAAATCACTCGGGTTTTGAATGTGGTTTTGAGGGACACAGCTCCCCTCCAGCGCAGTGCACAAGACTAGGAGTGAAAACTTGGCAGGTGGTGCAGCTCCAGCTCCAGGCAAAGCTCATAAAACACCCAAGTAATAAATCATCAGAAATATAATATATAAAGTTTTCCGAATTTCAAAACGTTGGGATGATGTTCTGAAGGTTTAGTTGGGTCCATATTAACACATAATGTACAATTTACAGTATTTTATAGCATGTATGAATCAGCATACAGACAGAAAGTTGAACAGCTGGCCATGCGGTGCAGTCGCCACAACCTGGGGCTGAACATGTTCAGAACAGTTGAAATGACAGTGGACTTCAGGAAGAACCCCACTCCACCTCTGCTCACTATACTCAGCAGCACTGCTGATACAGTTCTACAGAGGAATCATCCAGTCTGTTCTCTGCTCATCCATCACTGTCTGGTTTGGTTCAGCAACCAAACAGGACAAGAACCGGCTCCAGTAAAAAGTCAGGACTGCAGAAAGAATCATCGGCGCCAGCCTGCCCTCCATGGAGGACCTGTACGCCTCACGGGTCACAAGGAGGGCAGAGAAGATTTCAACACCATGGACACAATCTGTTTGAACTCCTCTCCTCTGGACGGCGCTACAGGTCACTGTGCACTAAGACAACCAGGCACAGGGACAGTTTCTTTCCCCGGGCCGTCGCTCTGATTAACGGTTAACTATGACTGAAGCAACAGGACTCCGCAGCTACTGCAGTGCAGTGGTTGTAAATAGTACCGCTACCTGCACCAGTCTGATAGCTAGACTGGTGTATATGTATATAATGTTTATGAATATCCACCGCTCCTCCTCCCCCTCCCACCCTTCTCATACCTTTGATTACACTGTTCTGTTGACTGTTGCCTAAATCACACTGACAGCCTCTGTGCTGGAGACAAATCCCTTGTATGCTCAACATACTTGGCGATTAAAGCCGATTCTGATTCAAATTCGATACAGTCAGGTATGTGGCACAGGTAGTAAGGCCTTTCTGTGTTCTTCCTGCCAGATCATTGTCCTGTGGAACTGTGACAAGCCTCTCCCTGCAAAGCACCGCTGGCCCGCCACCTCAGTGCCCGTCATCGTCATCGAGGGCGAGAACAAGGTGAGCTGGCGTGCACACACTCCTCCTCTGTCACCTCACAAGTGTGATCACTGTCGTTCCTAATTACATTGCTCATCTTACGCATGTTCTCCAACTGTAAAGCTACTGTTATCTCAGCCCTTGTTGTTCAGGCTGAGAGTTTCTGGGAGTTAATGAGTTTCGATTTGTGCTGCACTGATCCTATTAAAGGACAGTTTGTGTGGTTAAATTAAAGCTCAGCAATGGGAATAACAGCATAGCTGAGAGGCTAATGCATATTGTTAGGAAAGATAAGGAGGCAATAATGGGTAAGTGCATATGCACAGAAGCATTTATTTATTCTTAATGCATTTATTGCTGTTTACTCTTTACATTAATCATAACTAAAGTGCTAATTAACTGAAGAAAGTGACAAAAATCTCTCTGGAGAAATAAGCTTCAGCTGACTTGTAATGCACAATAATACATAAAGACAACTTACAGCTTTATTATGTTTGAGGTTTCATTCTTCTCTTATGTCTTTAATAAGTGGTAGCAGTTTGAAACTCCTTATAGAATTAAAAATCTCAGTTTAAATCTGTGTTTTGAGGGATGCAACTAAAGATTTGCTTCATTACTGAGTAATTTGATACTGACCTATTAATAATTTGTCTACAAAATGAAAATAGTGAAGTAGATGAAACGATAAGTTTCATCTACTTCACTATTTTCATTTCATGCCCATCACAGGTTCCCTAGGTTGCTTGTTTTATTCCGCTAACCATTTACAATCATATAGAATAGAAAAACAGCAAATACTCACAACCGTCAACATTTTAGTTTGAAATGTGACAAACAATTTTCCAACAATTGAAGGAATAATCAAAATAATCTTCTGTTGAATGAGTCTTCCTTTCAGCTTCTAAAAATATCTTCATGCACAAAAACAAACTCCATAAGCAGAGGTTTAAATATAACTCCAAGCTTTTAGAAAAAAACTGTAATGTGCTGTTTTACAAGTGGGCATCGGTTTTATCAGCATGTCGGTTAACACTGAAATTTTTTTTTTCCATTCTGTGTAAATGACTGACACTGTCGTTTGTTTCACTCTTTGCATGTTAACTCTCCAGCCTGACACAAGCCAGAGCCATGAGCATCTGGCCTGTGGAGTCATTTCTGTCTCAACTTCCCTGTGACCTCTGCTTGTCCAGGTCAGAGGTCAGACGTGGAGGATATCCGCTGACTGATTTGAGCTTAGTTTTATGATTTTTCGAGCCCACATTCCGGGTGCCTTTTTAGGAGAAGGTAACCAGATCAGGTTGCTCGTCTGTATTCTGACTCATCAGACTCACATCAGACTCATCTGCCGACGTCTCCTGTCCTGCTCTCAAGCACTTCACCTGCCAATCAGAGCAAGCGGTTATCACGTCGGTGTCAGTCACCCGGTGGTAGGCTGAGTTTTTAGTTTACCTCTCCCTGTGGCTTTGAGTGGTTTCTCTCAAGCTGCCAATCACAGCAGGAGGACTCTGTGTATAACTATGTGTCTGTGAAAAGTGAGCAGAACAGACGTAGCGTACTTGCGTACGTGTGTGTGTGTGTGTGTGTGTGTGTGTGTGTGTGTACACACCAGGCAGCTTGTGGTTTGTTGTGGTTGTAACGGTTTCTGTGTTTACTGTGGTGAGCCAAGCTGCGCTTCCTCCACCCCACACAGGGCGAGAAAGAGAGAGAGCGTTTTCATCCCCTCTTGCCTTTTTCCTGCCTCTTTATGCCTTATCCCCGCTCTCTTTCATCCTCCTCCTCACACACAGATCCCTTCCTTTCCCATCTTAGTTGTTTCTCTTTCATTCTCCTTCTTTCACCATCTCTTTATCAATGCACCATCTTTTCCTTTCCCCTAATTGATTTGCTCTTTTGCATACTCTTCTCAGGTCTGAGGAAATCAGTGTAAATTCTCCAATGCACCCCCTTACCCCTAATTTTAAATTATTTATTTATTTAGTCAGTCTTTTATTTCCTGTTAATTTTATTCCAAACACAAAATCTAAATTCTGATTCAAAGCATCTACAGTGCCACCAATTAAAAGTGGCTGAGAAAAGCTAAACATTATTCCATGTCCAGTTTAACTGCTGTACAGGTCGTGCTAACTTTGTGTTTGCTCCTAGCTGACTAGCGGTGTGTATGTCTGCATGTGCCTGGTGTTTACGTGGGCGAGGCTGTTGGCTGGAGTCAGTTTAAGGTGTGTGCTGCAGTCGTGGGAAGTCTGTACAGACACTGGAGTACTTCAGGAGGAACAAATGAGCCGGCGACTTGGTGATGCAGACGTGACAGCAGTGTTAGCTTTGGTCTTTCCATGAGATTTGCTGACAGTAAGAAAAACATAGAATAACACCAGTCCTATCTTTTCCTCCCTCTGTCTTCCTCTTCTCTCCAGAAAACTGGTTCACGCCTGTTGGCTTAAGCCGTGTGAGAATCCCAGCAGTGCTTAATATGGCTGACGCACACTGGCGGTCTTTTCCTGTCTCTCTCCTCTGCTGCTGTCCTTTAGAGGGGAGGTGAAGTGCTGGAGGCAGATTTCCTGCTGTAGGAGCTCACATTCCTGGAGAGCAGCAGGAAGCCCCGGGCTAACAAGTCACACTCCTAACACTGCAAACCATCTGGGGCTTGGAAACACTAGCCTCTCATCCTCTCCTCTCCTTTTCTGCTGTTTGTCTCCCTGTCACCTTCTCCTGCTCTGTCCTGCCTTGTGCTCACCCCTCCTCTTCTTCACTGCTATTCTCTCTGTCACAATCTGGTAGAAAACATGCAGCAGAGAACTGGAATAGTTTTGTTTGTCTTTCTGCCTGCAGTACATTGCAGCAGAGAGGTTACCACCTCTCCCCTCTCATTTTCTCTCTCTCCTTTTTCTCATCTGTAACTGTCACTCACTCTCATCAGCTCCTTGACCCTGTTAGAATGTGAGCAACATTCTGGACTTTGCCCCGCTGTTGCTGCCTCTGGTGTGTTTCTGGAGCAGGGAGGAAGTGCTGCTGACACCAGCGCCAGCAACGCTGTCAGGACTGAAATGGGAGCAAAAAAAGTGGATGTGTAGATGTAAATGTAAACTCAGGAAAGTCTTACATTATCTCATTTTAGGCACAAACTGTTTTTTTATTTTTTATTTATTTTTTCTTTATCGGTTTAAGCTCAGCAGAATTTAGCTCACAAAGTTAGAATCCAGGAAAAACCAGTGTATCATTCTGATACACTGGTCCAGCTGATCTAAAACAAACAAACAAACAAAAAGAAAAACCACAAGTTAAGCCCTTTAAACTGGTCAAAATATCTGAAACCGTTTTCGCCATTATGCTGCTAGTTAAGAGTTTTAGGCACTAACACGACTACTTCTGCTTTTCTTCTTACTATGATTTTGTTTAAAAGGACTCAAAACAGCAGCAATGCACAAAAAGACATGTTTTCTACATACTATAAATCATAACAGATTTGCATTGAAAGAAATCACTCAAAAAAAAAACTAAATTTGATAGTTTGAAATATTTGGATTCATCTTATATCCATCAGTCATTTTTCATGCTAGGTTGTCAAACATTTGCTGTGATTAGTTTCTCAGATGTGAAGATGTGCTGCTTTGACCTAGTTCACATAATTGTGGAGTGTTGTTTAAGGCACACCTGGCCTTCAGGTGTGTGGCAGAATGAAATAAAGCAAAGACTGTCTGCACGACATTTCTCAGAAATGCAGCGTTTCTGTCATAGCCCTTCGTTAGACATCAGGTGGATGGAAACATTAACAGAAGGAGCCAAAACACAAACACTGAGACATTTATAATTTATTGATGTTATAATTATCTGAGGGGTTTGTGATTTGACTCCCCTTTTAATGGGCTGTTGCATCCTGTGGTTCTAGCATCAAAACATTGTTGTTTCATGTTTGAAGTTTGGACGTGGCCATTAGAATAAACTAAATTCACCACCTCCTTTTTTAATCATTGTAAACTGGGAAATTGTGATGGACAGTTTTCACTATTTTATGACAGTTTATACATCGAGGGGCTGGTCAGTAATTAGAGTAATCATTAGTTGCAGCACAGGAGTGGATGACAGGCTTGAAGCGGCTCAACAGTACAGCCATGTATTCTTGTGTTTTTCCCGGTGTTTGTTGCCGCCCTCGGCCGTGGGGGCGTTGAAGACCTGTTGAGAGTGAGGTCGCTGCTGGAGTATAGCCGGCAGACAACGCCAGGTGTTTATAGAGAAAAGAGGTCAATGCTGACTATTTTTAAATATAAATGTAACGGCTTTTCTGTGCAGGTGGTGTTTTAAAAGAACACGTATTCTGGGCCTGACCTTCAGAGCTGTGCAGAACAACAGGCGTGCCAGGCGTGCGTGTGGATGTGTTTGTGTGTCTGCATCCATTCAAGCTGGTTCTTGTTTGTGGGGGCGGCGAATTGAGTTTGAGAACTCATGCAGTTTACAATGCTCACAGTCTTAGCCAGCGAGAAGCTTCTGTCTTCTCATCCAGGCACCTTTCATCACAGCGACAGACCAAAGACTTCCCGTCTAAATATCCTCAATATCCTGAAGATGTTGATCTTTCCATCCACCCACCAGGCCCACGCCACCATCACTCTGCTGCCAGTAAATATTCAAGGACTGTGATGTATTATACAGTTTAGCTTCATCTGCCATTAAATATACATATTCTTCTCTCAGCAGTGCAGGAAAATAAAGTGAATTTGCACCATATGTAGGGCACATGACTCATGCAGCATGTGTCTGTCTGCATTTATAAGCTTTTTTGATTTAATGGAACCGTATCAGCCCTTGATCACTGTTAAAAACGTCTGGCAGCAGCATGCAGTAAAACACAGGATAATGGCTTGTAACTCGTTTTCTGTGTGCTGCTCTATGTGCGACCTGGTGCTCTCCTGAATCCCATGAATTTGTGAGCGATAATTAAAAATGAATACAGTAGATATTGGAAGCAGAAGGAGTTTCTGATTTTAAAATTGATCTCAAAGTGAAGTTTACCGGTGGAGCTGCTTTCTAGCTCTTACACTCTGATCGTGCAAGTCAGGTAGTAGCAGAAGGAATCAAATCTCCAGGTGGCTGGGCTCAGCTATAAGTGATAATTATATTATTAACAATGGATCATACGACTGTGTGTGAGAAGGTTCATACATTGTGACTAGCCCACAAATTCTGCAGTTGCTCTGTTTTACAAAGTGTGTCTTTCAGCTCTTTTTTTATGGTGCTCAACTTTAACATTTTGATGCATTTTTCACTGCTCTCATAGCGTTGATTCAGTCGTAACGGGCAGCTGTTTTCACCAAAAGGTGCTGTAAAAACCCACTGTACACATTTCCTGAACAAAAAGACAGACTGGCACAGTTATAGTAGCTGCTAGCTGGGGAACATATTGGAACGTTTAGCAGCTAAAGGAAGATGTTTCCCTTAAGAGTTGAGACCAAAAAAACTGCTAAAACGATCGTAACAATGGGCCCTGCAGTCACCATGTGACCCTGAGATAGGCCCACATCGACTATCTTATCCTCTGCCACTGCACCTAAATAAGCAGCAGGAAGTGAATGGATGGATGAGAGGCAAAGCTGTGCATGTTGCCTGTACTGCTAAAAGCTGGGAAATAAGTAACTTGAGTCAACTTAATAATAAAAAAAAGGAATTATTGTTAAAAATGCAGCTATACACTGATGTCAGAGACACTATTGAATAATTGGAAATACATTTTCATTGAATGTTTTCGTGGAAACAATGGCATGTTGAATGGAAGTCGTCATCAGAATGAATCAACACCTCCATGCTGTCACTGGTTGGAAAATAGGCCGAGTAATGAACAAAGGGACGATGTGTCCTCCACAGCAGGCGCTTCACTTCCTTTTTCAGATGTTTTCCACAGCCTTTCACTCCAACATTTGTTCCTTCACAAATCTTAATATGCTCGTGACAGGAGGGGGATCCAGCTGTTCTTGTTCTGACCTCCTGTGCTCTGTCGCCCTCTCTGCAGGTGATGAGCAGCCGCTTCATGCCCTATGAGACCATGGTGACCGATGCTGTCCTCAGCCTGGATGAAGACACAGTGTTGTCCACCACAGAGGTGTCTTGTAATAATAAACTACAGTAGAAATCTTTCTTCTGTCTCCTTCCTTTCATTCTCATTAGGCTGATCCTCTTGAGATAAAGTTGCAAACTCTGTTGCATTTTCTCTCATGTTCAGTCTTTCTGTTTGTTCCTGGTGCTTTCAAGTTATCACTCTGCAGCTTGATTCTTCAATCATCTACTTTAATTTTACTCCCAGGGCCTTATTTTTCTTTCCTCCTTACCATGCTTTCCAGCCTCTCTCTCCTTTTCCTTCCATCTTCCACCACGCGTCTTTGGCGCCTGTAATCACACCGTGCCTCTCGACTTCACTTCTCTAGAGCCGCACTGTTACAGGCATTTTTGTTCCACACGCTGTCGAGACTGGTTCTGTTTTTCCCGGGGACACATTTTGGCTCAGCACCATGGGAAGCCAGATGCTGCTTTGAACAGTGCAGAATTAGCTCTCATAAAGGCTGTTTGTGTGGAGGATCCAGATGGTAAAGCAGCACTGGCATTGAAGGGAAAAACCAGCCCCCAAGAACCAGATCAACCCATGAAGACAGTTAGATCATGAACACACATACAAACCCCAAAGTTTTAGACCTCAAATAGCGTTAATGTGAAAGCAAGTTCAGAAACAAATTAAAGTTAAAATACCATCTCAGATTTCTGAACAGTCTCCTCATCATCCACCCTTCCCATCATAGAAAACCTATTATGTTTTATGGTGGATTTTAAGTATTCATTAATATAAGCACTGAAATGCAGAGCGGGTAGTTTGTGGAGCTGCTCAGGCCTTTTTGAAGTTTTCCTCTAATTATTTGATTGAATGCTTTGATCGCCACCACAGAACGTGGCCGAAGGCAGCTGCTCAGGAAAGGCTGCTTTGTGTCTGATGAGGTTTTTGCACTGTGGGGTGTTTGTGTGCACTTCCTTTGTTAGTTCTCCCTGTAGTCTCTTTCTTGTCCTGTCTTTTGTCTCTCATTTTACACACATACTGTAAATAGATGCGGTTAACTCAAAACTTCTATATTTCAACAAAACTGATCCTGTATAAAGTGAATTCAAAAACACATTTTGTCCTCCTGAATATCTTCAGAACACCTTTTCAGTTTCATTACTAGTTCATTTCGGAGCACTACTTGGTACAGAACACAAACTTTATAAACAGTTTAAATGTTGTAACTAATACTTTATTAATGGTTCATTCATTTACCTGTTAAGATACTGTAGATCAGTTACAAGCCTTAAAGGAGAGTGGTTGCCCGGATGGGAAAAATCCCTCTGGCTGCTGTTTATCCTGTGTTTGGTAATGATGCAGTTAGAAATGTTACCAGTCCACAGTGGTTGTGGGCTTCACTGAAACAGCTCCACTTAGGCTAATAGTTTAAGTAGCTAAAACTAATTGACATGTGCAGTAGTTAGCTACAAATAATAGATAAATGGTTGAAATAATGAACTAAAAGTAGTGCATGCACAGTTAAAATTTTAAGCTGTGAGTAATAGATACATGGCTGAAACAGCTAAAAGTAATGGATCAATGGTTGATATTGTCAGCTAAAAGTAATGGCTAGGCAGTTACCATTGCATTCAAGTACCTCCCTGCTGCATGTGGATTTAACACTGCATAGTGAATGTGTTGCAACCTTGCGAGTTTTAAAAGTACCCATATATCAGATGTTCTAAATATCATGTTCTGCATCATAATATGTACATTGTGCATCCCTCTCCATCCAGGTGGACTTTGCCTTCACTGTCTGGCAGAGTTTTCCCGAGCGAATCGTAGGCTATCCTGCTCGCAGCCACTTCTGGGACAGCAACAAGGAGCGCTGGGGCTACACATCCAAATGGACCAATGATTATTCAATGGTGCTGACTGGGGCTGCCATCTACCACAGGTACAGTGCACACTTCACACTGTCTTCCTCTGATCTCTCCAGTAATGCGCGATCTGTTTACCGCTGTGTGAGGCAGCTCTCCCCGTTTCGCTCGGCTCTGCGGTTTTCTTATATGCTCCTTCCGTCTGTTCTGTTCCCCTTTTGTTTGGGATCACAGCTTTGCTCTACCCTGCTCTCCAGTGTTCAGTTGTCTTTCTTCTGACACAACACTTTGATGCAGTGATCTGTAGATAATGAAAGCAGGCGTGATGTTCAGTGTAGCACAGCCTCAGGAAACACTGTTTTGACACTGGGTATGTTTTATCAAAAAAAGTAAATTTGCCTGCTGCACAGTGTTCCACGTGCGCCTGTATTTAGTCAAACTACAGCCTTGTCAGCTTTAATATGGCTTCACTCAGCTGTGATGGCAGCAGCCCATTAATCTGAAGTCGGCCAATCACCGCAGCCAAACGCTTAATCACTTTCAATAAGTCAGTCATTCAATCCATCCAGGGACTTGAAGATGTAGTCAGTTGTGTGAAGAAACTGAGGAACATAAAGGTGTCTGAAACCTGTGATGCATTTAATCTAAGTTGTCCACAGTGTTTTGTCTGAAACTGCGTGCTTTCACCTTCACAGGCATTAATCTTGAATGCTGCAAATAACTTTTGTTTTTATTTGTCAGTTGATCTGCTGATTATTTTTTGGATTACTGGATTAATTGCCAGGTCTATAAAATGGCAAAAAAAGAAAAGAAATGTCACAGTTTCCCAGAGCGCTAGGTGATGTTTTCAAATGTCTTGCTGTTTTCTCTGATCAACAGTCCAAATCCCAAAGAGTTTAATATCACATGAGACAAAAAAAAATACAGCAAGTCATTACATTTTAGATGCTGGAAATAAGAGATGTTTGTTAAAAAGCAATTAGAGTAGAACATGATTTATAAATGAACCCACCTTTTAATGTCTGCACTTGGGAAGAGTGTAAACAAAATCAAGATAAAAACACAAAACACACAAACACACACAGACCAATGGAATCCAGAAAACTCCATTCTGGTCACACTCTGTTCACATGTGTGAGAAGCTGTGGGTGTATCAACAAGCATCACTATCTTCCATTTCTTTTTTTTTTTTTTTTTGTTTTTTCACCATTTGGTTTTTAGCTTTGGTTGTGTACCACATGTAAACACAAAATGTATGTGAAATCGAATGTGCACGTCAGCTCCTGTGCCAGCACTTTTAAGATTAACACCTATTCTTATATGTATTTCCGTGTTAAGACATTGCCAGGTGTTTTTCCAAAAGCAGGTTTCAACCCTCACAGTTAAATATCTTCCTGACAGGACTGCCACACCCAGATCAGCTTTAACTCCTGTGGTTCTCCTCTTTCAGGTATTACCATTACCTGTACACCAACTACTTGCCCACTAGTCTAAAGAGCATGGTGGACCAGCTGGCCAACTGTGAGGACATCCTGATGAACTTCCTGGTCTCTGCTGTCACCAAGCTGCCACCCATCAAGGTCACACAGAAGAAACAGTATAAGGAGACTATGATGGGACAGGTATAGTAAGACTGTAGTGGAAGCTTTCTCACCACCATATCATTTTGTAGGTATGTTTATGTAGGTGACTCATTAGAAGACGTGGTAATCCAAAACAGGACCAGATGCCAGTTGAGAGAATTAGCCTGCATTACAGAAAACCTCATTACAAAATAAATATAATTGAACTGCTAACAGTTTTACAGCTTTGTAAATGAAAGAGCCATATGATAGAAACCTCTTTATGCTAAAGCCAGTGTTGTTTGGCCAAAATGAATTGAATTATCCTCTGAAAAAGTCTTTGGTACAACCCAGGGGTAACTAGGACAAGTCACTAACAGTGAAGACACTGTGGCAGTCTTTAAGCATTACATCATAGTTCCTACTCAAGTCCACCCTCCCAAACACAGAATATGACCCACCGGTGATGTATTGAGAAACACTAGTGTCAGTTATTTCTCAGTCACTGTAGCTGATGTTGGACTGGGAATAAAAGAATGCAATGACTGTCATTATCAGTCTTTTTCACGCAAAGAGAACATCTCCTTCCCATCAGTGACCTAGTGCAGTTTTTTTTGTAGAAGCGCTCTCTTATTTATACCAGAGTTTTTGACATTGAGGGGTCAAAAATGGCACCAGGTCACATGACTCATGTGGCTTCAAATAGTTCCAAACAGCACATTCAGATCCATTGTTTTACTTTTAGCTAATTATTTCAGCTGTTTGTCCATTACTTCTATGTTAACAGTTTAAACATTAAGCCAACTATTTCAACAGTTTATCTGACATATAGCTAAACGTTTCAACTGCTGTCCCATTACATTTAGCTAACCATTTACACATCTGTCCTCACTTGCTAATAAATGTATTCAGTTACATTTTATAAAGATCAACAACATACCAACCTGTAATAATATTTTGATGTTTATTTCCCTCCTAAAAAAAAATACAACCATTATTTCTAATTTTCAAAATGGGATGAGGCACTCCACAGTGTTTCCACATACCCTCTGTGGTACCCCTGGTCGGGAATCACTAGTGTAAAGTAATAATTAGCACAGTGTGATGCACTGATAGCATGATTCTAAAACTGTTCCTTTGTCTTTCTTCCTCCTCTTTTGCTTATTCATTTCCACCAGTCTACAAGGGCTTCTCGCTGGGCCGATCCGGACCACTTCGCCCAGCGACAGACCTGCATGAACAAATTCGCCAGCTGGTTTGGCGCCATGCCGCTGGTCCACTCCCAGATGAGACTTGACCCTGTCCTCTTCAAGGACCAGGTCTCCATCCTCCGCAAGAAATACAGGGACATTGAGAGGCTCTGACAAGACAGGCGCCCCCTCTGGGGAGACCCCACACAGGGGGAGGCGCGCGAGAGAGACTCTGTGGAGAGTAGGAGTAGTAGTAGGACTACACCAGGATGGACAGGAAACAACGCAGCTCTGTCTTCCAGTCAGCACATTGCCAATGACCACAGCGCTGCTGCTGCCAGGACTTGATGCAGGACAGGATGATTAGGAAACAAGCAGATGGCGTTTGGAAAATGCAAACACACAGACAAAGCGGAGTACATAAACTGATGGACATGCCAAACAGTACTGTATGTTTTGCAAATGTGCAAACACGCAGCACACACTACTGACGACAAGAACTGTTGGAAAGAATATTTTTTGTACAACATGAACAAGAACGACCAACTTTCTCAGCACGTGTAGGACGGTAGAAGAGGGAAAGTGTCCGCAATCACAAACCTGGCAACCATACCCACAACAAAACCTACTGGTTGCCCCTAGCAAACCCCACCGCCCCCCCAGTCTGCATCAGGACATAATACTGGAGTCACAACAAAACCCTGCTCTTGTTCTGTAGCTGATTTGATTTTTGTACAAATCAGCTCTCTCGCCTCACTGTCGACCATTTTTCCTTTCTAAGACGTTTTGAATCAGAGCGTCATCACTTTTATATTTTTCAAGGCAGAAAAGGTAAACAGCAGTGTCCAGCCTGTTATGACAAGGTTTTCATAGCAAAGCAGCCATTATTCCCTGATATTCTCAGCTACTGACACACATCCTTGAGCCTGAGGTCTGAAAACATCCTGTCTGCGCTACCCTTGGCTCATTCCTTGATGTGCTGATATGGCTTTTATAATGGTCTATCTGCTTCCCTGTTATCATTGAGATAAGTTAGAAAAACATTTTGTTTCGGATCCTATTTTCCTCTCATACTCGACTCGGCAGTTGTACTTTTCTCATCTTCTTTTCCCCACTTACTTTCATCATCTTTTATTTTCTCTTTCAATCTTGTACTTTCACTCTTCTGTGCACATGTGTGTGAGTGTTGTGTGCGCAGAGCCTTGAAAAGTTGGCTCATCCAACCATAAGCTCAAGCGAAGTCCATTTTCCCTCCATTGGAACGAGCAAAATGAACATTTCTGGATGAAATGGAGCAGAACGTTGCATTCTAACCAGACTTGTTTCACCCATTTATTGCTTCCTGTGTAGCCTCCGAGCACTGTCTTTAGAGGGAGAAAATTTCAGACCGTAGTAGGTCTTTAGTGACCAGCATCATTTCACAGGAGTGCTTCTAGTGAGATTTTTAATGCTAAGCATGTCGGTGCCATTCTGACATCAGCCTGTCTTTAAAATTGTTTATTGCACATCTTGTTGCTCACATCAGCTTGAGATGCCTCAGTGCTCTCCTGTTGAAATATTGTAGCCATCAGTCTGATGTTGCTCTCCTGCCGCCATAATGTTTTTTTTCTCCATGACATACCAGAGGACCCCAGAGCCATCAAATGGACAAAACTCCATTTGTCAGGCAGAGATACGTTTGGGCTTCAATTAGGTGAACCTATTTCATTTGGAGTGCTATTTTATTCCCAGTGGACAAGCTTTTGTGGAATCACTCTGACATTAAGGACCATTGTTGTGAAAGCAGTGACCCACAAACATGACCTGCCAGCTAATACTAGCCTTGGGAGGACAGCTCTTCCCCC